CAGGATGGCAACAATCTGATACAGGCTATACATATACATTCCTAGTAAACATTTTCACATTAGTGATGTAAGAAATTAGAACCAATAGAAGGAACCACCAGAAAGAGGAAACAAAAACACAACAGAAGAAAAAAAATAGCAAATAGTATGCTTCAATCTGCATTCAAACTCCATAGTTCTTTCTTTGGATGTGGATAGCATTTTCCATCACGAGGCCTTTGGAGATGTCTTAGATCCTTGTATTGCTGAGAAGGGTTAAGTTTATCAACATTAGTCATCGCACAACATGGCTGTTACTGTGTACAACATTCTCCTGGTCCTGCTCATTTCACTCAGCATCACTTCATATAAATCTTTTCAGGTTTTTCTGAAGTCTGCCTGCTCATCATTTCTTATAGCACAACAGTATTCCATTACATTCATATATCACAACTTGTTCAACCATTCCCCAATTGATGGGCATCCTCTCAATTTCCAATTCTTTGTCACCACAAAAAGAGCTGCTATAAATATTTTTATACATGTGGGTCCTTTTCTCATTTGTTCAGCCCTAGAAGTGCTATTACTGGGTCAAAGGGGTATGCATATTTTTATAGCCCTTTGGGTATAGTTCCAAATTGCTCTCCAAAATGGTTGGATCATTTCACAACTCCACCAACAATGCATTAGTGTTCCAATTTTCCCACAGCTTCTCCAACATTTATCATTTTCCTGTTTTGTTTGTTGGCCAATCTGATAGGTAATTTCAAAGTTCTTAAGAGAGACCTTGAGAGTGTCCTTATATCACTTCTTCTGACCACCATGTGTGCACTTGCTCTGTGTGAGTTCTCCATAAAATAGTCTTTTAGGCAAAAGAGTTTGGCATTCGAACAACTTGGCCAGCACATTGTAGTTTAATTCCCTTAGACACCCTTATCAACAATGTGCCCAAAGAGGACAAGATTATAATTCTGAGAGACTTTAATGCTAGAGTAGGCTCAGGCTGCCAGACATGACAGGGAGTCCTTGGGAGGACAATGGTTCCTTACTACTGAAGACTTGTGTATCTCATGACCTTCTTATCACTAACCATGTCTTCTGTTTACCTAAACACAACAAAACTTTGTGGATGCACTCTTGAAACAAACATTGGCATTTAATAGACTGACACTCGCAAACATCAAGACTAATTTGACAAAAATAATGGGAAAATGCAGAAGCTGCTAAATGAAAAAATGAGAACTTCACAGGGTTTACCAGCAGGATAGTTCATCCATCTCTAAGAAGACAGAATTTAAATTAATTTGATTAAAATCATAGGCCATTCAGTGAAAACCGGGCCTCTGGACTGAAGATTCCTTACCTGTGAAGGGACTGGGTTAGATGGTCCCTAAGGTCCTTTCAAGTTCTAGAGCTGTGATCCTATTGTGATTCCCACTTGTTTGTGCCCTCTATACCTGCAATGCTCTCCCTCATCTCGGTCTCCTGGCTTCCTTGAAAGCTCAACTCAAACCCCAACTTCTGTTTGGGGTGGGGGAAGGGGAGCCTTTTCTACCATCTTCCCTCCCTCCAATGGCTACTGCGCTTCCCTTTGAGACTATCTTTTTATGTTATCTCCCTGTCAGAATGTGAGCTCCTTACTGGCAGGGGCCATGCTTTTGCCTTTCTTTGTATCCGTTGCACTTATCATAGTGCCTGGCACATAGCAAACACTTAATGCATGCTTTCTGTTAGTTGGTGGGCTACGTGAAGGCAGGGAATCTCTTTGCCATGGTCTTCTTTTTTTTTAATTTCCAGCACCCAGAATAGTGCTTAAGCGGAGTAGTTGCTTAATTTTTTTGTTGTTGTTGGATTGAACTGGATACTGACAGGTAGGTAGTACCCATATTATTGATACATTCTAAGACAGGACAGCTAGGTGGCACAGTGGATAGACTGTAGGGTCTGGGGTCAGGATGACTCATCTTTGTGAGTTCAAATCCAGCCTCAGACACTTACTAGCTGTGTGACCTTGGGTAAGTCTATTAACCCTATTTGCCTCAGTTTCCTCATCTGTAAAATGAGCTAGAAAAGGAAATGCCAAACTGCTCCAGTATCTTTGCCAAGATAACCCCAAATGGGGTCACAAAGAGTTGGACATGACTGAAACAACTGAACAATTAAAAAGATGAGATAGCTGAGTTGAGAGAGAAGTAATGGTCATCCTGTTAGAGCAGGGACTGAAACCCAGATCTTCTGATTCCAGGTACAGTGATCTTTTTACTATATTACCCCTAATCCACAATCCTGTGATACTCCTGTTGCAAGTTATCCCGTGGTTCTCAGCCCTGCTTATCAGTGTTGGGGGAGGCTCAGATGGAGAAGCAGACACTGAGATTGCAGCTTTTTGTATTGCCTGCTCTTTGCCCCCACCTTGGAGCCATTGCTAATCTTCAGTGATCAGCCAGTCAATGTGCTACTACCTTGACCTACTTATAATAAGATCCTTTCAATTCTCTGTCCTGAGTTGTGCCTCATTAATCAGAGTTAAAGCCCAGATGAAGAATTTTCCTTTCAATGCCCCCTTTCTGTTTGTGCCAGTGATGATGGCACAGCAGTGGCTGCTGTTAGGGTCCAGTAATGAGGAAGACCATCCTGTTGCCCAACTTTCATACAACCAATAATATGCACAATGTAATATACTTTGAAATCTCAATGGTGCCAGCCCTGAGAGCTCAACACCAATGATGAAATCCCTCATTACAAAAGAACCCCAAGGAAAATCATGGCATCAGATGCCGAAAGCCTGGAAAAGGAAAGCGTTACAAATGGCTCATTTCTTATAATACTGGCTAGTGAGGGGAAAACAGAGAATCAACCCTTGAAAAAATATTACTGGGAGGCCTACTCTGTACAGAGAACATCCTTTACAAAGAAGATGAAGTCTTTGCCTTGGGAGGTGGGAAATACAAGTAAGAGACAGTTATGAGACTGTGAAAGAAATGCAAAAGGCAGGAGAGAACTCGTTATAACCACAGAGATAAAAACCTAATTGCTGAGGGGATGCTGCTGAGGATTTTGGACAGAGCAGAGCTGGATAAGATTAGTCAGGGCATACTTTGGCTGGGGAGAGGGGAGGAAACTGATTTGGAAGGAGAAATGAGACAGGAATTTTTTCTCCGCACTCTGATGGCACTTTACTTCTTAGGCACTTAACGTTCTATTTGTTGCATGGGTTTTTGTCTTTTTTTTTTTTTTGCACTTCATCTTCCTGCTATAGTCCCCTTGAGGGCAGGAACCTTGAAGACCGTAAGATCACTTATCTCTGTATCCACTCCCCCCTCCCCCACCAGGCCCAAGGACATCATACACTAAGTAGATGCTCAGTAAATGGTTTCTGAAGCATTTGAAACAGGTGGGGGTTGAGCCGGAGGACCAGGCTTGTTCAAATAGAACAAAGTTTAGTCCTGATCAGGGAAGAAGAGCTGAGGGAGAGAAGGAGAAAGGGTCAAGAGTGGAGGGTATTAACAGCTTCCTTTGAAATTTTCCTGAATGCCTGGGGCTCTTTGTTGAAGTGGTGAAGTATTTCTAGGGGGAAGGGGCTGCTGTTCCCTAACTCAACCCCAATCCCCTCCAGGAGAATCAGTCACAGGGTTTCCAGCCAGTGCCCTACTCCACTTTTGCCCTCTTGCTGCCCTGCTTGTCTGAGTCAGAGAAAAAACATGGTCCTGTTCATGGAAGAGCTTAGCTCTGACATTCTGAGAGGTGAGGATGAAAAGGAAACCAGGGACCCTGGTCAGGAGTGATCATGGAGAAGGACCCATTTCCTATCCATGGACATGTGGGTGGGAGAGCTGGTGAACTGGGGTGAAGACGGCATTTCGTGGCTCCATCTGGCCGCACTGGAGGGTAAGTATGTCACTGGACCCAGAGGAGGATGGGAGTGAGGCAAGTAAGTGCCTTGACTCCTTGGGCCTTTAGCCCTTTCCTCACAGCTTCCTTCATTCTTCCCAGTCGGCCCCCTATTCCTGGGAACCCTGAAATGTCAGGGTACAGGGCAATGTCCGAGTAGAATGAATTCATGAACTCAACCCTTTCAGTCAAGTGACAAGGTTTATTGTAACACCAATAGGAACTGGCTGGGTTCCTAGGGAACCTGCAACTTAATGGCAGTTAGACTGATGCTTATATACAAAAAGGATAGTGAAAGGATCTGGATGGGATTGAGGAGTGGTAAATAGTCTGGGGTGGGCCGGGCACAACAGTGAAAAGACATCAAAGTAGGCTAACTAGGTGATCCAGATTGGGATTAAGGAGTGCATATTAAGTATATTCAAGTAGTCTGGAGTGGGATTTAGTGAAAGGACTGACAGGTAAGCTAACTAGTGATCTAGGTGGGCTGGAGTGGGCCAGTTGCCTTGGGTGGAGGTGCCTGTGATCTGGATTGCTTAAATGTATGGGAAAATCCAGTCACTGGGTTGTTTCTAGAGACTTGGTCTTTTCCTTTTAGGGGTCCAGGTCCCATAACCCAATCATTTCCTCCCCTACTCCTTTTTCCCCAATCTTCCTATGCCTACCGAATCTTCTTTCCCCCTTAGTTCCTTAGTTCTGTGAGCCTTCTCTTGCTTTTTCTATCTGCATCCACAAGGCCTAAGCAAAGTTGAAGGGGAAGAAGAAGTTCATCTCTCTGGGGCCAGGGTGGGCTCCCTCTGGGAACTTGCTTTGGCTAAGGACACATAGAAACAATTTCCGTTCCTGGACCGGGTCAGAATATCTTGGCCTCACCTTGGGGCCTGTAATATGGGAAGGACGTAGAGGAGCATCAGAGGAGCAAGAATCCACTATGGAGAGAGAGACGAACAATAAATCTAGGGCTCATCAAGTAACCACACTACCCTGCCAATTAGCCCCCAGTAGAAACTTTATATATATAAGAATGCTGTTTAATATCACAGTTGAAAGCTGAGTCTCCCCAGGCCTCTGTATTCATAGCAGGAACCTTCTTGATGTCTGGGCAACTGAAAGCCTGAGGGGAGCGGGGAAATGGCTAGAGTTGAGGAAGCCAGCCTGGACTACGTGCATGTGCCTGCATGTGGGGGCAGAAGAGGAGAAGGAGAAGGATGACCCAATCCATGCTTTTCTGTGGGGCTGAGCAGGAGTGGGAATATATTACAATGCTGAGTCACCTGGTTCAGCTTGGACCGAATGACAGACTCTTCCGAATCCTGTGATTGCTCCCTTCCTGCTCCAAGGCTTCCTCTCCAGGGCTGGTGGGTAGCAGAGACAGGCAGCTCTTCCTCCTCTTGCATTTAAAATCTCCCACCTACATACTTACTTCTCATCTTCCTATTCCTTAGTCCCTTACCTCACCTGGGGTACTTAGAATGTGAGCTGGAAAGGACTTCTGAGGTCACCCAAGAGCAGTGGTGCAGTGGATAGAGCACCTGCCCTGGAGTCAGGAGGACCTGAGTTCATATCTGACCTCAGCTACTAGCCGTGTTAACCTGGGCAAGTCATTTAACTCTGATTGCCTTAAAAAAAATAACCCACAAACAATCAGAGGTCACCTAGTCCAACTATCTACCTCATCTGTGAATATCCCTAAAGGGTAGTTATCCAGTCACCGACCATTTCCAAGGCAGCTTTCATGAGGCAGACTGGTCCACAGTTGGACAGCTCTAATTCAGTTATTTAATACATACATACATATATACATATATATATATATATATATATATATATATATATATTTACTGAGCATCCCTTAGGAGCTACTTCCCCATTCCCAGCATTTAACTGGTACTATTTGGAAACCTAAACTATATTGAATTGAGTAAGCTGTTGTTTCTTTCTCTCCCCCCCTCCCCCATCTCTACCTAATGCCTGTTCAAGAGTAGTCACTCTGGTCACACCCTGAGCCCAGCTTCTAATCTCAAATAATGCCCCACCCACACCCTTCACCACCAGACCTACCCTCTCAGCTGCTGCAGACAGATAATTACAGCCTCCTTCCCAAAGACTTTTCCTCTGATTTCATCTGTCTTCATAATATCCTCAACAGGGGAGGCAGAGGATGGAAAGCAGGAGTGGAGAGTTAGGGAAAGTGATGCTGCATAGAAATCCTGACTTAGCTAAGCTCACACAGCCCTAGCTACTAGGCTCTGACATGACAGCCGAGGTGTCTGGACCGAATTAAAGATGATAACCTAGGCGTCTGGACTTCTTTCTGGACAAGTGATCCACAGGAACGATTATTTCTAACTGTTCCAAAGGACCTCCAGAGAAAGAGGTCCCTTAGGCACCCCTAACTCTTACATATTCACATCTTTAGTTAGAAAGTGTATCTTGATTTCTAATCTCAACACTGCTTGCTGCAATGGAAGCCCACATTCTTTTATTTTCTTCTTTAGGGTAGGTAGGATGTGGGAACAGAACAATGAAGAACCCACCCATATCAGCTGTTCCAACATAACTTAGAGGTCTTTCCTCTCTATTTTCTGAACCCTCTCCACACCAACCCCGAATTTTGGGGGATCCCCTTACAGGAATAATTCTTCCACTCACCCTGACTTGACCAGATTAAAATAGAAGCCAGAGTGGGCAAAGTGCCAGGCTGCTTAGGGTCAGAGGATACACCTTGGTGTTAAGACCTAGCCTTGGTTCGGCCGCATGGTTGCTTACAGTGACTGAGCCGGCTTCCCTGCTTTATCCTCTCCCCCCAGCCAAGTGTCCCACTCCCAGATCTGGCTTTCATCTCCTCTGAAGTCATCACAATTTCTCTCCAGCTTTCTGCTTTACAACCTCCAGGGCCTGGGCACTCGGCCAATCCAACAGTTGTGTGGGAGCAGTCTGTGGTAGGATGAGTTCTGATCCTCAAATCTTTCCCTCATGGGCCCTGGGAGGGTGAGGGGCATAGATATCCCTGACTGTTCTCTTCCATCCTCCAAGCACACATAATATTTAAAGCTGAAAAGGCCTTTGGAGATCTTCTAGTCCAATTCTTTTTTTTTTTTTTTAGAGGAGAAAAATGAGACAACCAATAAGCAACAGAGACAGATTTTGAACCTGGTTTCTCTGACTTCAAATTTCATGTTTTATTTACTATAACAGAGATGATAAAATGAAAGTTAATCACAAAGCATTCAGTACTAAGGGATTTTTCTTTTTGCTATTTTTATTTATTTTGTTAAATATTTCCCAATTACATGTAAAAAAATTTAGCCATCATTTAAAAAAATGTTACGTTCCAAATTCTCTCCCTTCCTTCCCTTCCTTGAGAAGGCAAGCAATTTAGTATCAATTACACATGTGAAGTCATGCAAGACATATTTCCATATTAACCATTTGAAAAGAAAACAACAAAAATAAAGAGAGTAAAAAAAGTATGTTTCAATCTGCATTCACAACTCATCAGTTCTCTCTCTGGAGGTGGAAAGTATCTTTCATCATGGGACCTTTGGTACTATCTTGGTTCATTACTTTGATCAGAATAGCTAATCATTCACAGTCAATCATTGTGTAATATTGTAACTGTGTATATTTTCCTGGTTCTGTTCACTTCATTTTGTATCTGTTCATATAAGTTTTCCCAGATTTTTCTGCAACCATTATGTTCATTTCTTATAGCACAATCACAATCATAGACCAAAACTTGTTCAGCCATTTCCCAGCTGATGGGCATCCCCTCGATTTCCAATTCTTTGTCACTACAAAAAAAAGTTGCTATAATATTTTTGTAGAAATAGGTCCTTTCCCCTTTTCTTTGATCTCTTTGAGATAGAGCCCTAGTCACTACTTTTGCTAGGTCAAAGGGTATGCAGTTTTATAGCCCTTTGGCCATATCTCCAAATTGTTCTCCAGAATGGTTGGACTAGTTCACAGCTCCATGTCTCTTCCAGCTTTTTTTATTTTCCTTTTCTGTCATATTAGCCAATCTGATAGAGGTGAGGTGGTACCTCAGAGTTATTTTAATTTGCAGTAGTGATTTAGAACAGTTTTTCATGTGACTATTGATAACTTTGATGTCTTCTTCTGAAAACTGCTGAGGGCCTTTCCTTAATTGATGTCAGGATCTTTGCTTTCTGTGAGTCAGTGCTTTCCTCACCTTTCTGTGAAACCCAACTGGGGGCCAGTCTGCTCCTAAGAGGGCCTGGGTGTCTGCCTCTAAATGGCACCTTGGCTGTTTGTGACCGTCGGGAGGGTGGGGTTGGGGGAAGAGAACAGGGTGGCTAGCAGGGGCTATTTTAGGAGTGCTGGTTGAGCCAAGGGAAAGGGTTCTGTTTAGTTTCTTCCCCCTCCCCCGCTCCTCCAGGCTATGGATAGCTCTTTTACCCCAACCCCACATTAGAGCAGAGAATGGACACTTCCTAGAGCTTTGTAGAGGGTTTGGACTGGAGGACTTCCACACCTTCTGCTCTTCAGCCTGGTAGTCAGATTAACCTCTCCTTTCCATTCAGACCCAAACATTATCCCTTTCCCTAAGACGAAGAAAGAAGATAAGCTAGGATTGTATGAAGAAAGATTGTTCTGAGTGCCTAGCAGCACAAGGCTTTACAAGAGCCTGCAAAAATACAATGCTTGGGGCAGAAAGACCTTTTGAGGAGGGTCTCGCTTTGGGCTACTACCTCCTACTGCTTCCAGGAAAAGTCTAGGGCTCTTTCCCCTCTCTAGCCCTACAGTCCTCTGGAGGGCTCAGCAAGCACAGGACTACAGCCCCAAAGCCCTCTGCTCACCTCCCACCAGGTGATAGATTCGGCCCCTGCCCCTTCCCTCCTCATTCCCCACAGAGGAAGCCGAGTCCTATTTCACTCCAGATCTCAGGACCACTATCCTTCTCTGAATAGTTGTTGGTGAGGAAGATGGCCCCCTACTCTGCCTGGATGAGGGAATCTCAGACAACATTTAGTAAGATGGTGGACCACTGGGCCTTACTACTGGCCCCTGCCCCCATACTCTGATTCTTGGGGAATTGTCATTTGACTCGAACTCTAAGGACTACCAGGCCTTTCCATCTACCCTACTGCACCTTTCTATGTGCTTCTTCTCTAACTAGAACGTGAGCTTCCTTGAAAGCGGAGAATGTCTTGCCAGTGCTTGGCGCATAGGGAATGGGTAATACACACATTTCCCTTACATTTCACTATGACCCTTTTGGCATGGTACAGTGTAAAGGGCAAAAAATATGGAATCAGAAGGCCTGGATTAAAATCCTCCCAGAGCCGCTGCTTGTATGATCTCGGGCAAGTCCACGTGATCTATCTGGGTCTTAGTTTTCTCTATAAAATGAGTAGGTTGGACTAGCCTTCCCTGCCCCTTCAGCTCTGAACCTACGATCCGGGGATCCTTGGTGTCTCCAATGTCAGCGAGTTCCGATCTGATCTAGCAGCAGCCACAGTATCTGGGCAAGCTGATCATGCAATTGGAACTGATCACCAGAGAAGAGCAACCCTAATAAACAAAGCCTCCAGCACTAAGCCCGGATCCAGCTAGGTCAGGATAACTCCCAGTAGCTCCAGGCTGCTCTATTTAGAAATTCTTCTGTTTCCCTATCATCTCTAGCCTCTTTTTTTTTTTAAAGTCCTATGACCTGAGCTGTGAGTCAAGGAATCAAAGAATCTCAGAGCTGGAAGTGACTAGCCTCCTTACAGTAGCTGGACGGCTAAGACCAGCTGCCTCTGGAAAAGCTGCAGCAATGTAGCACTTATCACTGTTGATGATATCTTAAGTCCAGGCTCCTACTCAATGCAGGAATCCTATCTATTCTGACCTGGAGGAATGGCCAATCTTTGGAACTCTGAACACTTTCTGTGAAGAGGAGCTTGTCATTTTTCCAGAAAACCAATCCTATTTACGGTTCCCTTTCCTTTTTCTGCATCTGCATTGGTAGGGAGGCTAGGATGGGGATTTAGCTGTTTGCTTTCTCTTCCACCAAGGAGAGGGAAGAGAGATTGTTTTAAAGCACAGAAGCAGCTGAAATAACTAGTGACATGCTTCACTTGCTACCAAAAAGGTCTTACCCCAGAGGCAGGGTGGAGACCAGGTTAATGGGATTCCGGCTTCTGGCACTAGAATCTACCCCACCTTCCTAATCAGTTAGATGCAGAAAAGGCCTAGAAAAACTTCCTCCCCCAAAACTGAATAATTTCTTGTTAAAGTCATAATAACCTGGTTTCTTGTAGGAAAATCAATAAGCACCTAGTAAGTGCCTACTATGTGCTAAGGCTGAAGAGACAAAGAAATACAAGCACACTCTAATGGGTGGAGATAACATCTGAAGAATTATGTACAAACAAGACAATTGGAACAGCTTTCAAATCCACCTCAATATAGATGCAGATTTGTTGAGGGGTACATTTGCTTTTAGTATTAAACCCAGAAGTGCCATGACACCACTTGCTGGGAAAGAAGAGACCCCAAGACTCATTTATACAGCACACTAAGCTCCTAATTGGGAATCTGCAAAATGGGGCTATATATCCTCTTAAGTTTCTTTTCAACTCTTAAGTTTATGATCCTGTCACTGCACAATATTCTTATACTCCATCTTCTGAATGTCACCACTATATTTAGTCATTCATCATCTCACTTCTAGACCACTATAGCATTCTAATTAGCTTTCTAGCCTTGACTGTCCCTGATTCAATCTACCCTGCATCCGCATTAATCCTTCTAAAGCAGTTCTACCACTCCCCATCAAATAAAATTCATAGGAGTTAATCTGACATTCAAAGTTCCCCATAATTTAGTCATCCAAAGCAAAATGGACTATTTTATTCTCAAACATGATGTTGTCCCACCTCCATGCCTCTGCTCATTGCTTCTGCTTAGAATGCCCCCTCCAATACCCACCCCTATCCTCAAGTCTTTCTGGACTGCCTCAGCCCAAGGTGATTAGCCCTTCTTTTGAATTATACATATTGCCAGCACTAATTAACATATTATTTTAACTCTATGTTTTCTGCCTCCATGTTTAGATTGCAAATGTCTCAAAGGCAGCAACTAATTTTCTGTATCTAGTAGCTGGCACTGGACCTTACAAATACTGGGTTCTTAGTGCCTGAGACTGGTATTTCCTATTTTCTGACAGGTATGTAGAATATAGAGGGCCCTAACACGAACAGGCTGGTAACTACTTGGGAAAAAGAGAATTTGGGATTTATAGAGATACTATAAGGCAGGGATGTCAACCCTCCCTCCTCCATTAGATTAAAATACAACTGGGAAATATTTAACACATTAAAATGGAATCAAACATAGTTGATGTCAATATGTGGTTTTCTAAGTCACTATGGGCCTGCTGGGTTCCTTATCTTGTTTTAGTGGCCCCCAATTCTATGGGAGTTTGACAACTGCTCTAAAGGATGAAAGCCCTGATACTCCACTAAGGTCAAGTCTCCAAGAGCCCAGGAGAATGTTTCTGCCCCACCATTAGAAGCAGAGACATTACTATCAGAGAAATACAGCCACAAGGGATCAGAGGTCACCTGGCCCAACTTTCCCATTTCATAGATGAGGAAGCCAAGTCCTAGAAGGGCGATTCCCTCAAAGGAATCCAGTTAATAGCAGAGGAAGGTTTCGAACCCACCACATCCTTTGATTCCACATTCCAAATGGCTCTTTTCCACGGCACCATATGGGAATATGCATCCCATGTGATGTCTCAGCTGTAAAGTGAGCCAAGAAATCAGCCAAGAGATGGCCCTGTCATTTTGACTGGCGGCAATCATGCTTTGTGTCTTTATAAGTTCCCCACATTTGGGGTAGAGTCACAGGGACACCTAGCGGCAGAAGGTAGCATTGGCCACAATTGCTCACCATCCTACATCCCCAAAGCCAACTGCACTGCACTCTAATTTACCCCGTGTGACTTTAGATCTCAGAGCAATGATAGGATCTTTGTGATGGAAAGGACCTAAGCTTATCTAGTCGAATCTCTTCTATTCTTTGGCAGCAATTGCTGCCAAATAATTAGGTAATTAGGCAATCACCTAAGCAAGGGTACAAACCCTGAACTCTTCTGACCCAGGCCTCCACTGCAGACTCCAGAACAAAATTTACTTTCAATCTTTCTGAACGCAGGGCCAAAAAAAAAAAAAAAGACGGAGAATCCCCAAATCCCAATTAAACTGACAGATCGTAAGGGGCACAACCAACTGCTTCCCTCAGCCTGGGAAGCTGTGGGTTCGCTCATGAATGTAAAAAGCAGAGAGCTGGAGATCAGCCACTACACACAAAGGTTGTTAGAGCCACAGCTAAAAATCCTTTGGGTACAGAAGTGGCAGTGGTGAAAAGGATGGTGGGGTGTGGAATGGAAGGAAAGAAAGGAATAGGGAGAGTAAGGAGACAGTACCTTAGGGGTTAGGGTAGCAATGACTAGCCCCCACTCCCCCAACCCTGCACTTGTGCCTCCAAGGCTGGCCACCATGGCAATGAGCCTGGCCTGGGGTGGAAGCCATCACACATCCGTATAGAAATTACCACCTGGTGCTGGTACTAGATGGAAAGCCTCAGGGGCTTTACATTTACAGCTCCTATCAGACTGGATTTCACCTAAGTTCTTTTTTTATCTCTTTATTTTTACTTTTTCCCCCCAAAGGGAACTGAAGGCAAAGAGGTGCTTGGGGAGGCACCTCATACCACATGGGAGTAAATTCATTTGTAAAGGTTACTGTCCTAGAAAAATACACATTGCTAATTTGTGGGCTACAACTCAACCATTTCTGAGGACACTGGGGATAGAGTGGGGGGAAGGTAGAGAGGAAGAGAGGAAAATGCATGGCAGACTGGCTCACATGGATGTGTATGGCAGGCAAATTAAACAAACTTTTGGGGTGGTGGGTCATAAAAAAATCCTTGTGTATTTTTCTTAAAAATGAAACCTAAACTGCCTTCTGTCATGTTTACTGTGTGCGTTATGTGTGAGAAGGGCAGTTTGAAGGTTTTGTTGTTTCATGCAGTATAGCAAAAATGTGATGATTTTTATCAACTGATGAATTTTAGTAGAAAGACTTTGGAGGCTGGGGGGTAAAGGAAGAGGAGAAAGGGTCACTGGAGACAACCAGGAATCCACTTGCTCTTCATTTCCAACCAGAACCTAGTGAGTCGGTGGTATGGGGCTGGTGACAAAAACGGAATTCCTATTCAAACATGCCTGTTGTCCTATGAAAGTCAGGGTAGGAAGAAGGTCAATTTGTGGGACATGAATGATCATGTCTTTTGATTATCCAGAGAAGGAGAAAAAGAATCCATCAACACAGAAACCCCTGCCTCTTCTGGCCAAGGACGTTTCAGGGCTGTCCAGCAAAGGGCTCCGGAAATAGCCCTGCGTATGGCCAGGGGCGGAGGCAGGGGTTGGATGGTTTTTTGTGCTAGAATGTCCTCAGGAGGGAATGCCCCAAATCCCTCGAGCCAGCATCCCTCTTATGACCGCTTTGGTGAGCCCAGTCTGTGCTTCAGTCAGTGTGTGTAGCTCAGGGAGGGGCCAGAGGCTGGGAGGCAGCTCCAGAATAGGAGAAAGGTACATCTCGACATCAGTGAAAGCTACAGAACAGTGAGTGGCTGGGCTGACAGAAGCTTAGATGCCAATTGCCTGGAGCACTCTCCTTTCGTTGTCATTAAGGTGGCCTGAGAACATCACGTAGCAGGGTTGTTGGGCAAACTGGCACAGGAAGTCAGTCAGATAGGCCTAGGTGGGGAAAGAGCAGAGGCAGGGTCACGGAGGGTTGTCTACGTAAGGCAGGGCCAAGGTGGTGAAGGTGGGTCTGCCTGGAAGGCAGCAAGCTGAAAGAAGGGCACACAGCAAGGCAGTGGGGAGGGAGGCAGCTGGAAGCCCTGCTCCCTGGAAAGGGTCTGGGGGAGGCACTTGTTTGGGAGCCAGGGGTCCTCGAGCTCCAAAGGACACCAGCTCATGCAGGGCCCTCCCAGGCAGCTGGCTTTTAAGTGCAGCCTGTTTCCTACCAGCCTCAATGAGTTGAATGAACTGGGCTGGGGCATAGTAGGCATGCTGCAGACCCTCTATTCTGGGATCGAGGCCAAGTCAGAGCTCTCCTGAGAAGCAAGGGGTGGATCTGGTCTCACCAGACTTGTCTAGAAGGGCAGTACTCCCCTTCTAGACAATCTCACCTGTAAATCGACCTGATAGAGGGGGTCCTTCAGGGCATCTGGATCATCCTCTTCATCATCTTCATAATAATCCTCGTCTGTCAGACAAGAGCCAAGGTGGAATCAGGAAGAGGGAGGTATGCAGAGACACATGACCAGTGGGACCCACAAACCCTGGACTGTACTGGAGCTCTAGATACTAAGTGACTAGTGGAAGTAACTCAATGTCCCCTAGGGCTTAGGAACTTTCATACTCCAGTTTCTTCTGTGATAAGCAGGGCTTGGTTAGATGTGGCAAGAGTACAAGGTTTTCAGGGTCCAACTCTTCCCCCCTTCCCTGTCCTCTGATCTCTAGGTCCCTTGTCTGTTCCCTTCATCAGCTGCCTACCATATTTATTTGTGGCAAGAATGTCAGAAAGGAGTTGCCCGGCTAAGCCTTCATCTTCCTCTTCCTCGTCTTCCTGGTCTTCCCACATATCGTTAGAATCATCTGTTTGGAAGAGAAAGGCAGATGGAGAATTTTCACCACTCTAAGTCCTGAGTAGGGTGGTGCAGACAAAAATGCCCAGCGGGCCCTGAAACTTGGATCCTGGATCCTAGAAACAGTTCTTTCTGAGCCTAGTAGGATGCTCAATTTTCTACTTCTTTCCCCCATGAAGGGAAAAAGCAGGGCCTGATGCTCCCACTCCCCTGAGGACAGAGATAGGAGAAAAAACGTAAGGAAAGATCTTAGGAAGAGCCTCCCCCCCCTCCCCGAGAGAGGTTGAAGGGTCTATTTCCTATCACCCCAAATTTTTTCAAGGAAAGTGTTTTAATGAGGTGGGCAGAGTGAATTCAAGACTAGTTTTCTGATAAACCATGAATCATATAAAGCATGATGTTGTAATGATAATAACATCTGTATAGTATTCTAAGGTATGCAAAACACTTTACAAATATTATCCCATCTGCGCCTCACCACCACTCTGTGAAGCAGGCATAGCAATTCTCCCCATCTTGTAGATGAGAAGACCACGGCAAACAAAGGTCAAGTGACTTGCCCAGGGTCACAGAGCTAGTAAGTGTCTAAGGCCATTTTTGAACTCAGGGCTTCCTGACACTGTGCCACACAGCCGCAGTGACAGACAAACCGAGGCAGGGTATAAATAGATAAGACTGTAGCGCACTACCTTGACTCCACTCCGCTGGTGTTTGGCGAGAGGCATTTGCCTCCATGACGTTGGAGAGCTCATTGATGATTAGCTTCAAGATCTTGACCAGCAAAGGAATGTTTGTCCAGCGTTCAGGGTCTGGGGAGGAAGGAAAGCGTTACAGTATTGCAGCAGTGTGGTCCTTGTTGCTCTTGGAAACAAGTCTAGAAAAGACTGAAGACCGCCACAGGTGGGTGTACACACACAGGCCCCTCTCTCCACCTGGAAGTACTTGCACATAGCACAGAGCTATCCCATAGCTGCCCATGCTCTCTGCAGTCTCTTAATGCCCACAGTCCTAAAGAACGGTTGAGGAGCTGCTTAGGGCACCTCAGTGCTGGGCAGGTCACACTCGTCACATCGTTTATTGTCACCCCCTAATAACTGTGTAGAGAGGGATGGTGCTGAAGACTTGGGCTGGAAGCGAGTCAGAATTCTACCCCAAAGTGAACAGAGACTTCCAAAGAACAGAACTGCTTCAGGAAGTTGCTGCAGACAGATTCCCAGGTCAAGTACACTGAAAAGGGTGAGCAGGAAGCCTAGGGGTACCGCAGAGCAGCCAATGTTATCCATCCTCTCTATAAAGAGAAATTATGGCCCCAAAAGATGAAGAGACTTGCTCAAGATTACACTCTGCATCCTGACTTTCAGGCAGGGAGGACTTGGGTCTCCTGCACCAGTAAAGAAGGACCTGCATTCCAAAGGGGAACTCCTATCCATCGGGGGAAGCGTCACTCACTTTTGGCTGCCTTAGAACGAGTGCGGATGCCCTCATCCATGTTGAAGATCTCCTCTCCCTTGACCCTGATGTCCTGCAGACGCTTGTCATCTGCATTGATGCCATGCTGGAGCAGCTTGCACAGAGCCACAGAACTGGGAGGACAGAGGAAAAACCACTCACAGTCACCTAGCCATTAGCTCCACTCCAAGAAACAAGTAGTTTCTAATTACTCTCTCTTCTGGGTCAATGAAATCCTGCACCATGAATTTTAGAAGTACTGACTCCCTTGGTCAAAGCTGAAAATGGGGTCTAGATTTGTAGAAGTGGGCCTAATGAGAACCTTTTCTTCTGAAAAGAGGTGGACTAGGGCTATGGTTGAGTTGGTGGTAAAACAATAAAGAAGAAAATGTCTGCTGATTTGGCCAGGGGAATCTGGTGCCTCCTTTAAAGGCCTCCCTGGCACAGCATAAGCCAGGCACCATCCTAAGGTATCTGAAGATGGCAGTTGTTCAGGAGGATATAGAAGAATTGGAAATAAGGTAAAGAGTTGTGATGAGAGAACACAGGAGTATTATGATATATTTAACCAGAATAAAGAGAGTTACATTAGAAATGTAGAGGCAGAGTAACACGCTGAGAAAGAGCAGATGAAATCTGTGAGTTGGGGTCCCACCTGACTTTGCTTTCATATTGTCCATAGAACAGGTGCTGCCGGCTTGTCCACTCAGCCATAACAAACTCCAGGGCAGGTTTACCAGTTGGTCCTGGGAGACTGCACAGAAATTCCAAGAGGGGCTCCAGCTGAGTGTGGACCAGGTGGGCAAAGACCATGATCAGAGACTAAAAGAAAGCACAGGAGAAATACTTGCTTAAGGGCTTCAAAAGCCCCAAGGATGATGTCAAATAAGATAAAACAGGTATTTGGAAGCATGGAAAAAAGGAACAGATATCTTGGTACTGGTATGGCAACGCAGGGAGGTAATGGGAAAACTCCGTCAACACTTGAGCTTCCATTCCTTGAAACTCTCTGGGTGAATGTCCCATCACTTCCTCACCCCGATACCCTAAGTTTTGTCCAGCTGAGACTTCCTGCTGTCCTCTCACCTGCATGACACTGAGCGTTTCTGCCTGTTGCATCTTGCTGAGGATGGCACGGAGGATCTGGTCCAGATTCTCACCTAGCTCCCTCCCAGCCTTGGAAATGAGGGTGGAGACCAGGCGGCCAACGAACGCAGCAGTGAACTCGGAGGTGCGGGGGTCAAGGAGCTGGCTCACTACTTGCATCACATACCACAGACCACTGTGACCCTGCTCATCACGCCACTGTGCAATCTGCTCCAAGGCCACCGACACATAGGCCCGAAGGCACTCACCACCATTCTGGGCAGAGGACAAAACACAAATGAGAAGCTGAGGACGAGCGGAATGTCTGGAGTTCATGGATGTGCATGTACAGACATTCCACCCTCACGAACTCTGCTACCAGCCTCATGAAACAACATTATTTTGAGGCAGAGCAGCTCAAAGTGTCTGGTCCATATTAGGAGCGCTATCTGTGGCTCGTGAGGTCAGTAGGTCAGGGCATGATCTGAATGTGAACAAGGGTTTTTCTATCTCCACGTGCTAAAATACAGTCAATTCCCTGAGATAACCCTTGATCACACAGGTTTGAGGGTGAAGTGGGGACAATGGTAGAAGAGGTAGGCAAAAATATGAATGGTTCAGTGGAAATTCATCATCATTCCCAGAAAAACAATGCAGAACACATACCCTATTGATGGGTCACATACCAGAAAAAGCAGAAACCAGGGGTCACCATATTGCTTGAAACCCTATGGAATTGTGTGCTGTTTTTTTTCTCACAACACTTTTTCACCCAGTGATTTTCCAAATTAACCAAAGTCCACTAGCAAGTACCAATAACCACAACGATCAGCTGTAGTACTTTAGGCCTGGAAGGAAGTGACTTGCCACCCAGAGAGTTAGCAGTTGAAGCAAGAAAAGACTTGAGGCACCTTCCTTCTCTAGAATTCTATCAGGCAGACCTTGCAGATTTCCATTCTACAGACTTTCCCAAGTGTCCTTAGATACTTCTAGCTGGCAGCAGATACCCACTACCCTCAAATGGGGTAACATCCACAGGAGCATAGCCAGCTGACCCCTGGCATCTTCTCTTATTGAGTAACTCCCATTTAAGGATGGTATCAGGACCCCACAATGGAACCCTTCCAGGATTCTTAGGCCACGAGAAGGCTGCAGGCCAGGGAGCTGCTCACCTCCCCCTTTCCCAACCAGTGTTCTGGTACCTGCATGGTGGCATTATCGTCTGTGTTTAGAGTACACTGTCCAACGGCGGGGAACGCCTGGCAGATGAGTAGCTGAGAGAGAGGCGGCTTTGTATTTCGAACCACTGTGGTCAGAATATCAATGGCTGTCTGGGGAGAAGAAAAGAAGGGCAGTCAGAGCTACTTCTTTCTGGGAGATTCGTAGACCAGGCTTCTTTCCAGACTGTAGTGAAGCAGACAGCACAGAGTGGGTAGAATAACCCTGCTCTTGCAGAAAAAGCTGCATAGGTAGTAGTGAGGCTCCCAGTCCCCTTCTAAACAAACAAGCACTTTTCTGGACACTGAGAGATGGATGAAACAGCCTGGTGGCAAAATGAGCAACCCAATACATGGGCAGCTTTATGTGCAATCAAGTGAGGGCACCTCTGTATGACCAGAGTCTTAAAAAAAGCTATCAAGTGCTGTCTACTGTCCATGGGGCCTGTGTCCATGTATTTTCATTCCACGAACATCTCTCAGGCCAGAAAGTCTTCTCTTTGTTGACGTCTTAAAGGTTGGGATAGAATACCAGTAAGATTTTTAGACTCTCCCTCATCCATCCACAGTTGTGTAAAGTTCCCCATGGGTTCCTGTTACTCACCGCACACAGTCCAGCAGGGATCTTGTCAGCAGGCGCCTGCATAATGCTGACCAGAGTCGGGATCAATCTCATCTGCATGGGACCCTGACAAGCCTCGATCTGGGCCAGTTCCTTGAAGATATCCTGAGCCAACGAGGCAACAACGGGATCTGAAGTAAAAAAACCAGCATGTCTCCCAGGAGGTCTGGGCCTGCCTGTTTCAGTCAGGTAATGCCTATCTCTATCTCTCATGGTACTGGATTCTATTTAATTTATCACTATGAACTCCAATGAGGCCAAAGGAATAAACTGAAAGCACCTAAGTGCTGTTTCCAAAAAACCACATTACATTCAGTTTAGAGTATGGACTAATGTTCCTACTAAAATTAAATTCTGTGCCTTACTCCTTTCTTCTTAGGAAGTCTAGAACTGGGTTAATGTATGCCTGACAGGAAGAATGACCAAAACCAAATGCTCTATACCAGGTAAGAGAACAGGAAGGTATCAAAAGCTTAAGACTGAAGATATTCCCCAAAATGCTTATGTCTGGGGAAAAGATGCACACATTGACTAAGGAGTAAATGATGAAGAACAGAAAAGCAACCCAGATACTCTTCCCAGAATAACAAGCAAGGCCTACCAAAAGAAGAGACTTCTATGGGGTTCAATTCCAGTTCAAAGTGTTTCACCCAGGCACAAAGAATATTCTCACATATGATACTGCAATCCACTCCTCTAAAACAAATCTGAAGGCTACATTTTAAAAGAAGCTTTTCCTGAATGGTGAAAATTCATTTCAATGGCTAATATTTACTTTGACTTACGGATCAGAAAAATGCCAGAGATTTATACATCTATGTTCTAACAGGATATTTAACAAGCCTCCAATGATGTCATTAGGGCCAAGGTATAGACATGTGATTAGCCACCAACAGAGTTAGAATTCGCAATTTGCTGAATAAATAAACCCCCCAAAGCCCTAGATTGCTGTTAACCTTTGGCAGTGTCACTAGAAGCAGTCTATCTTTAGCCCTGGTCTACTAAGCATTTTAAATAAAGGCTTACTTACAGAATTTGTGAAGGGACCCCTAATATGTTTAATGACAAATTTGGAATATAAAAAAAACTTACACTACAAAGATGCACTGAGTTGAAGATAGAATTTTATAAGGATAAATTTAAATTTAAACTCCTGAACCCAGGTTCAAAACAACAAATGGCCAAAAAAAAAGTTGGCTCAATAGAAGGTCATTCAAAAAGACCTGGAGTTTTAGTTGAACACAAGCTCAATGTATTCAGCAGAGGAACATGGCTGCCAGAGGAGTGGAAGGGAAAGGAAGAAGCATGTATTAAGCACCTCCTATGTGCCAAGCACTATGCAGAGGGCTTTACAAATATTATCTCACTGATCCTTACACCTGCCCTGGGAGGTAGTTGTGGTTATTATCTCCACCTGACAGTTGAGGAAACCAAGGCAGACGAAGGTGAAGTATCTTGCCCTGGGTCACACAGACAGTGTCTGGGGCCACATATGAACACGGGTCTTCCTGATTTGGGGCCCAGTGCTCTATCTCCTGAGCAACATCGCTGACAAATAAAAAGATGCTGACCAGAAAGGTGAACAGACTCACAACCATACCATATGAAGACGCTGAAGGAAGTGGGCATGTTTAGCCCAGAGGAGTCTGAAGGAAGACATGACAGGAAGAGCTGGCAAGGGGACTAGACGGATCCTCTAGAGCTTTAGAGGGAAGAAGTAGGACAGGGAGGAGACTGTGGCTTAGGCTGAAGGAGGCCTGTGAAACCACAAGTGATCCTGGGAAGCAGGCAGTTCTTTCTCAAGCAGCAGCTGGGAGGATTCAGACTGGTGAACCTCTAAAGACTCGGGTATACCTTTGATTCGATCCCTGAACATGTCCAGCACCTTCAGAGCTCCCCAGAGCAGGGACTCTGGACATCTGGCACATGGCTTGGTTTTGACATTTTTTTTTTTGGTGACACATTTACACTCTGAAGACAGATGGGTTATGGCCCTCACCTCATACAAACTGTACTTATTTATGACTGGTTCTTCAAATCCCGAAGGGGTGAAATGAAATCTCCACCTGAGTCCACTTGTTCCTAACCTTTTCTCTTTTCAAACACGTTTAGAACCCTTGTGCCCTCCCCCACCCCCCCAAGTCAACTCATCCTCCTGCCTCCTATAGGTGTAAGTAGAAACATACCATTGCTGTATTTTAGAAAAATGGCAATGGTGAATGGACAGATTTTGTTTTCCACATTGGCTGTGAACTCTGGGTCTACTGTGCATACGATGCACAGTGTCTCCATCACCAAATTGAGGACTTCTGAGCTGAACTGTGCTGCCAGGTGAATCAAGCCATCCAGGACACTGGGAAGGAAGGGCCGCAACACATGGGTGCTCTCTGAGACCTTCAGCTGGTCACAATAACTAGACGGAGAGATAGATCAGTCAGGGTCAACCACAAGCAGATTCAGTGAACACTTATCACTCCAATTATTCTACCACTCAGGAGTAGCTTCCAATCACTACGAGAGTTGAAAACTTGTTTGTGCTTCTGTTTTTCCCATGCATCTCATTTACCATGAAGAACACTGAGGTAAAACTGGGAGGAACAAAGAAGCATCCTTTTATTCCTTTATGCAGCTTAGGCTGTATGGGAGATTCCAAGGGAATGAAGGATGAAAGGAGAAGGATTTTCTAGACTCAACCACCAGAACTGCTTGTTCATCTATCTAACTAAGAGTGACTATGAAAATAGCCCTTTCCTTCTTCACCTTATCTTTACCTTTCTTCTTAAGGTATTCCAGCATCTATAAGTGGTTCTGTTTCCAGGTAAAACAAATCAATAGGCCACCTGTGGTTTGGCATGCTTTGCTTCAGCACTATCCCCCCAAATCACTTCTCTCACTCACAGACTGGAAGTTTTCAGGTCACTCACCCCCAGATGGCTCGGACAGCAGATATCCGCACCGACGGGGGCTGGGTCTCATGCAGACCACTCACGGTTGCCTGTAGGAACTGTTGGATCAGCTCAGGGGACATGGCAACAGTGAACCGACTTGCAGCCCAGAGAGCCCGGCCCAACAGGAAAGGAGAGACTAAGGGAGACAAAGACAGAACAGTGAGGCCTCTTACTACAACGATTCTTCCTGCCACGAGCCCAATTTGAAGCCAACTTGAACTGGATTCTAAGACATATGCAAACTAACTAAAAAAAGGAAAAAGGATCTTAGAGACGAGAGAAAAGGCGGCAAGAAATCTCACCCCATCCAAGAAAGTCCCTTCTCCACACCTTACTTATTATCATCTACATAATGGCTCATGGCTATTCTTATTTTACTAAGGGACCTCTATCTCAAACTGTTCTAATCAAAATATTTACTGAAGTCAGACAGTCAATTAGCACTGATAAAGCGCCTGCATGTGCCAGGCACTGTGGTAAATGCTGGGTACATGAAAAGAGGCAAAAGAGAGTTTCTGCCCTCAAGGGGCTCACAATCTAATGAAAAGACACACAATGTGGAAAAACATCCTAGAAAAGCTCTACTTTTTCTAGGGGGAACAGGTAGAATTCTAGCACCCATCTTCTCAGGTCCCTCAAGATTTTCCAGTTTCCTTGTTAGAAAAAAGGATAAAAGGCATAGGTTGACTTGGAAATATGTTCTAATACCTATATTCATACATTCAGTCATCTTTTTGACCATCTAATGTACAAGCCTCTGTGTTAGGAAGGCTCTCCAGATACAAATATGGAAAAAGACGGCTCATGTCTTCAAGGAACTTACAATCAGTTAGGATACATAAGACATGCATACAAATAACTAGCTCACATATTGTCTTAGATAAATGACATGACTGTTATAGGTAGGGTAATGTCTATGGACCTGACATAAGGGTTTCAGATAATTTCATGTCTTGGGGGACAGGTAATGGTGAAATACATAATTTCACAGATAACCTACCCTGGTAGGAAGGTTCACTATCAGAGAAGAGTGAAGAGCAGGGATGGTCTTAATTGGCTGAAGTTATTACAAAGACCAGGGGGAAACTAGACGGAGGTTCAAAATTATAATGAAAAGTAACATAGGAGCTTCTAGGTCTGAATGTTAGTCAAATGTATGGGTTGAGAATGGGATAGAAGAAAATCACACTACTCCATGACAGGAAGGGATGAAAATAGAATGGAAGCAGGGTGTATAGCACAGAAAAAAGGAATAAGGTATGGCAAAAACAGTGAATCATCAAATGTGACTGAGAATTCACACAAACAGAACAGGGGCTATTTTTATAGGCAAGAAATTTTCATGGAGGTGAGAACTAAAAATTATAATCACTTGGCTACAAGCTGAGAATCAAAGCTTGAAAAAAATGCAGTACAGGGAGAATGAGCTTGACACAGAACCCCTGCGGGTGTTCTGGATCTAATCAGAAGAGAAGCAAAGACGAGGTCAGTAACAAGCAGAATCAAAGCCCATTCAAATGCCAAGGACAACTGGGACCAAAAGAACATTGATGTGGCCACCTCAGGAGAAAATAAGAATAGCTGGGTGAAAATTTGATTTCAGCAGCATTATTCTCTTGACAGATAAAGCCAGAGCCAAATTTTCCAGACCGACGTTTGAGAGTGCCTGGCTTGGCTTCAGAGTGGAAGGATAAGACCTGCCCTAACTACTCAAAAAAAAAAATACAAGTAAGCCCAGGGGACTGGGCATTATGCTAGAATGTACCTGAGAGATTGAGGTCTGCGAGGACGACATTGGTTAGGAACCCGTGCATATCAAAATGGATCCTGCCATTTTTCACATTGTCAGTAATGATAGACTTCACAGAGCCCAGAGCCAGCATACAAGCTTCATGGATCTTCCACCTGCAAAGGATAATACAGTAGCACCCTCTACCTACTCAGTGAAACAAGATAACCCAAAGCTGACCACTTAAGGACTGCAGATCTGTGTGGCAAGACAGTTCAAACAGAACTGAACTGGCTACGGGGGTCTTCTTCATCAGTTTTTACTACCTCTAATTTTAATCAGGGTAGGGTGAAGTTTTATACCAAAACTAACTAAAGGAAAAACAATGCAAACAAGATGTAGACCGGGTTCCTTAAACCAATGCAGTAAGAGAGTTTAAAAAAAAAGAGTAGCTTAATCCATTGGTCTGGGAAGAGTAGCTTTAGGATGGATGAACAAAAGACAGCATCTCTCTGTCCAGGCTCTGGCGCCACTTGGTGTGCCTGCTGCCACAGTCCTCTCTCCAGACCCAGCCTCTGTCACTCCTTCCTTACCAGTGCTCAGTGCCACTGCTTTGGGTTTGCTCAGCTTCCTGTAAATGCCGAGTGGCGGCAGCAGCCAGGGCCGTTGCACTCTCATTCTGGAAATCAGTGGCCACAGCCTAGGAAGGAGACGAATAGGCTGTTAACAAATCTGCTTGTATACATGAAACCTAGTTTGATGGCCAACTGATTGAGTCAGAATGCTATCCAGCTGAATAAGGCCAATTATTATCTCTGAAAATGCTATCTTACCAATCTCCGATAAGGGTAAGGCAATGTTGTCTTATCCTTATTTTCAACTATCTTACTTGTTAAGGAGCTGGTCCCTTTGGCTACATTCAGCAGAACATCCGCCAATGATGACAGATCCAAACCTAGAAGGCTCTAGGCCAGACCTTTAACTTTTGGAGCCTCACAGTAAAAGAGGAAATGAAAACTAAGCTACTTCTTGAAGGTGCCTTAGAAAGGCTACGTGATGCTGAGAACTGACTGACACCTTCACCCCCAAGACTCCCCCAGTAACAGGCAGCACATGTCAGCACTTCCCCCTGCAGCAAGGAAGGCAGAAGCAGATGTTGGACGGTATCACTCAGCTTCCCAAGGGAGCTCCTTCCCCATTAAGTCTGCCAACCAATGATTGCTACTATAAATACTTGCAGAAAAATGGATCAAAAAGCCCTGCTTCTGTCATAACAGCTTCTGCTCATTTGAGGCCCTCCTCCTCACCACAATATTTTCCCATAAGACTGAAATTTTTTTTTCTTTTTGATAGCCAAAATTTTATTCACTAAGCAAGAAAGCTACAATAAAGTTTATATACAATTTTTCTTCTAATACTTAGTTGCCTTAAAGCTACACCATAAGAAAATTATGAAAGAAGTACCTCATAGATGTGGAGTTAAGAAAAGAGCCTTAGATAAGACTGAGACTCTTTAAAGCAGTTCACCTGCCCACAGAGAAGCAGCAGCATTTTGGTTCTTACCACTATAATAAAGGCATCTAACAACAGGCCTTCAGCTGGGGTCAGGTGGTGGGAAAGACAAACAGAAGCTCAAAGAGATGACAGATTTCATTAATGGTGGGTGGGCACTGGGTATCGCTAGTCTTTTACCAGCAACAGGTCTTGGGCTGCAATCCTGACAGTGTAGGAAAAAGTATCATCGTCTTCATCTTCAACAAACTGCTGGGGGTTGGCTGTCCACACTTTAATCTGGAAAAAAGTAAAAAAATTTAGCTTTCTACTGGGGTGACCTGGATCAAATGTTCCCTCAGCAGTAACTAGAGGAAAAGGGTGCAGAAAGGGAAAATGATCTCTTTTCTTACATGAAGGCTCTAAGCCTGAAGAGTTCTTTTTTGTCTAATCCCTATCATTCAAGACTGCTGCTTTTTGGGAATGTACCAGCTTACCAGGAAGGTAAACAGCTCCCACCACTTGCTGCTTTTTGACAAATGCACCTTTGGAATCCACTAGTCTGATTTATCAGTTCAAAATCACCGTACACCAAAGAAGATGGGAGAGGTGACAGTTTTATTCTGGGATCATCTTTTTTGTCTGCAATGGTCTTCCAGTTGAGATAACAATCTCTTCTCATCCATCTGCTACTAGGCAAATGGACACAGACAGAGAGGATGACATTTTCTCTCACTTTTTGATGCAAATGATCTCTAAGCCTGAAGAAGCTGACAAAACCACCTTAGCAGGGCCACATGACATTGGAATATTTTTTATTTCCTTAGGACAAATGTAATGCCAACGATTACTCCTAGTATCTTCTTATTCCCTAAAATCTATCTCTCTCTTCTAAACCTGATACTTCAAATAGACAGATTTGGGGCTGTTTCCCAGAAGACATTTACCTGCTCTTCAGTTATTTGCATGTATAAAATAATGTAATAAATCAGCTCAGGCAATGCCTTCTTCACAGTGCTTTTGAATTTGCTGTTTTCTAGTAGGGCATGTACAAATTCAAAAATGCTGAAGACAAGATTTTCAAATCCCAGCACTTCACCTACAGGAAGGGCACATAAGGAAAGGAATCAATGACCACAGAGCAAAACAACAAACAAAAAAAATCCCATCAATATTCGAAAGTAACTATGTTATCTTTGGAAATCAACTAAAGTATGTTTGCTGATTTCTATTCTGTTGGGAGTAATAATAACAATAAATAACATTTATATGACATTTTAGGACTTACAAAGCATTTTACAAACATGATCTCATTTGACCCTCACAACAATTCTGGGAAGTGTTACTATTATCTTCATTTTAAAGAGGAGGAAACTGATGGGAGAGGTGAAGACACCTGCCTGGGGTCGCACAGCTAGTGTCCAAGGCAGGATTCAAACGCATATCTTCCTGACTACCAGTTGCCCTTAAGAGATTAAAGTTAGACAGCAGGATACAGGGCACAGACATTTGTACAGAATATACTAAAAGGGCAAATGAGGAAAAATGTTAGCAGAATTGGAGGTTTCAGGGAAGTATCACCTGAGCTGGGCACTGAAGGAAAAAGATTTCAACATTGCAGAGATGTGGCTAGAATGTGTTAGGAATGGAAGAGGGCCAGCATGACAGTGAATGATAAGATGAGGGGAACAGTTAGCCATCCAATGTGGCTATAACAACAACTATAATGATAATGATGATGACAAAAACAGTATTTATGTAGTGTCTGCTATAGGCCAGCCACTGTGTTAAGCTCTTTACAAACACTGACTCATTTTATCCTCACAAGAACCCTGGGATGATGGAAATGGATGAGATGAGGAAACTGAAGCAGAGAGAAGTGAAGTGACTCATCCAGGATCACACAGATAGTAAGTATCTGAGACAGCATTTGAACTTGGGGCTTTCTGACTCCAAGTCTAGCGCTCTATCCACTGAGCCCCCATGTTCCCTGGCAGAACATTCAAATTAGAAGAGGAAGGTGAAGTAAGGATGGAGCTAAGCTAAGTTGGAGCCTGAGTGTGGAGGACTTTAATGGTCTGGTTATATAATTTTGTTTATCTTATAGGCAGTAGGAGATGTGCAAAGCTTTTTGATCAGACCCATGCACTAGGGAGATGGCAGTCTAGTCTATGATGGATGTTCTAGAGATCAAGAAAGCAGACAGCCAAGTGTTTCATAGTCTAGGAAAGAGACAATGAGGGTTTGAAATAGGATGGTGGCATTGTCAATACAGAAGATGGGATGTATGTGAAACACATTGTGAAGACAGAACTGACAGGCTCTGGCAACTGCTTGGATGTAAGTGTTGAGGGATAGGAAAGTAAAGGGTTTTAAAGCCTAGATGAGTGGGAGAATGGTAATGCTATCGACAGAATGAGGGAGGTCAAGAAGAACGGCAGGTTTTGAGGGAGATGCAAAGTTTAGTTTCGGATATGTTCAGCCTGAGGTACAAGGACATCTGGGTGTCTACCCAATAGGCAACTGGAAATGTAGGACTAAACCTTGGAGAAACGATCACACGAGGTATAGAGATTTGGGAATCATAGACACACAATCCACACAAGTGAAGACAACTATCAAGAACACAGCCTTATAAGACACCACATCATGGGGGTAGGAAACCCAAGAGGAAGTTGTTAAAGAAGTGGGAGAAAACCAGGAAAGGCCGGACATACCAAGAAGATGGTCAACCACCAAGAATGTAGCAGAAGAGAAAAGACCCCAACAATTTAACGAGAGTCCCTGGTGAACCTGGAGAGAGCATCTGAGATGAGATTCTACTGCACACAGATCTGTGAGGCCTAGGCCAGGCAGGCTTTCCACTTTTCAGTTCTCCAAATGTGCAAAGACAACACCTTGCCTTAACTGGAAGAATTCCTGCTTCTGTTTATGAAACTTGAATGTAACCTAAGCCTGATCTGAAAACTTTCAAAAAAGAAGTCAACCACAAAGTTTCTTGTTTTTTTCTCCTTGTAATTCCCTACCTCCCTTCTCCTATGAGCTGGTGTCCCTAAGTAGAGAAGTAAACCAATACTTACCATCAGAATCCACAGGATCTTCTACTTCCTCAGTATAATTCACTTCTGTCCTCACATAAGTATGGGACAAAGTTAAGGGGCACAAATCAGAACCTTTATAGATCTAAGTAGGGGGAAAATATATATTCTAGCCAGGAGTTTTCTCTTTTCCTCTCATATAATTGCCTACCAGTACACCTTAAACTTGAAGTGTAACAGACTTCCCTGTGCAAGAATATAACCCATTTCAGAAAGGATAACCACTCCAATGCTCTTGATTTATAAGTCGAAGTGTAATAAGGCCCTTCCAGGTTTCAAAAAAAGGATATAAAGCTGCACTTTCAGTCAAGGTGTTCCACACAATTGGAAGGATCTGCTGCATGGAGGAAACCATGTGCTTGGGGAAGTTTTTCACTAAGGCCGTTACTGCCTAAAAATCAAAAAGAAAGACGGAAAATTGGAAAACCACTCCTCACCCCCCCTAAACTAGATAATTTCTTAAATGTATTGGTGAATTTTTACCTTTAGCACTTCCATCTTAAACCCGCTGTCAGATGTAGGGCCATCTGGCATCTGGAGAGCCTGAACAAAGGCCTCAGTGAACTGCTGAACCACAGGAAAGATCAGCACTTTGGCAGCCCCCTGAAAAAGAAGTTAGAATAAGACACATCTTTTGATTGGCAGTTTCTTGTGCACAGTCCCCCAAAGGAGGCTCAATGTTAAGGTTGTGGGTCTCTCAAATATCAGCCCCTAACCAGCGGGCCTAACATTTCCATTATTCTAATTGAACACCTGAACTCTTGGATCAAATCTCCTCATGCCTTCTGACTCCCATCCTCACCCCTTGAGTATTCTAAGACCTGACACATCAATTAATCAATCAACAAGTGTGTGAGTGATTACTCTGTGCCAGACACTATACTTGTTGCTGGAAATACAAAGACCAATGAAACAGTTCCTGACCTCAGGAAGCTTACATTATTCTATTGAGGGAGACAAGGAGATATCCGAGTATATTAAAAAATATATGTAATATGGATACAAAGTGATTTTGATGGGGAGGCGCTAGGATTGAAGAACAGAGAAGGGGGAAATGCCTAGGGCAGGAGGTGGGGTCTACTCTGAGCTCTAAAGGAAACCACAGGGCCCAAGTGAGGTAGAGGTGGTGGTGGGGGAAGGACTATATTCCAGGCCTAGGGGACAGCCTGTGCAAAGACACTGAAATGTACATGAGAATAGGAGGGACTCCCAAAGGGACTGCTAAAAGGAAGGGATCAGTGTCCTCAGTTATTCTGGCTTCAGACAGATGCCACAAGGAACCAGTGATGCACTGAAGTGAGGCAAGAAGCCCACAACAGGACATTAGGCCCAGGTGACTGAAAACTAGATGAAAATAAAGGAAACTTAACTATAAGTAAATACAAATTTTAGTTAAAATGGAAAATCTATACGACAAAACTTCTGCTGTTACTGCCATCAAATAAATTTAGGAAGGATTAGTTAAAAAAACACCTCTGAAAATAATGTGTTTGTGTGACCCACTAGTCTTATAAGTCACTGTCACCCCAAAGTCTCACCCACCTTTTCCAGCTCTTCCATGTTACAGATCATATGAGCACAGGTGGTAAAAATCTCCACAGCACGGGAACGGGTTCGAATACCATAAACCTAAAAGAAAGATTACACACTATAAATAACCCACCATGACGCTGTATGTGCATAAATGTTGGTGGAAGTATTATGAATTATTCTGAATATTTAACTCATTCTAGATTGACTTGGACTAGGTCATCTACAGATATGACAATGACCAAGAGGAAAAGAACGGTTTGGGAGAGGAAAAAAATAGGAACGTCTTCCTGATGTCCAGGACTCTGCATCTTATGGTTCAGAATATACGAAAGATAACACTGAGATAGCACTAGCAACTATCAAAACTGGCATTACACATACATTAAATAGGCAGATTTGTGCTTTGGGCAGCACTGGGAAGGCATACCTATTACAAAATATCATTGTGTTGTCTTAGTGCCTTAAATCTTGCCATTAAAGAGTCATTCTTTTGGGCTTATAAGGTCATCTTTTTCAATGCGAAGACTCCTGGGAAGGCTCATACAAGCTTTTTATTAAGATATTTTAGTGTGAATTAATTTAATCAGATTGATTTCCTTTTAACATTTAGCTGAGATCAAAGCACTAAGAGACTATGGAAATCTCAGTGTCTTCTGGGAAAGATGGGATGCCAGGAGTTAGCAGGTGTCACCACAATCAGTGTTACTCCATAGCAAACTAATGGATTTGCAATTGTGATCTGGAGACTGGCAACTAGCTAAACAGGATGTATCTGGAAATGACTCCACAGCCTCCAATGCCAACTATCCTTCTGCTAACCACAAGTGACTGAGTAGCTTTCATACCTCTGCCATGGTGAAGATCTTATACATCTCTGGGAGAATAACAGGAGCAACAAGTGGCATTTGTGTATCGGTTACTTCCCGAGTGAATTCTAGAATGAAAAGAGAGTTACTGTTGCCCCAACTATTGTCCCCAAAGCCATAAAATGCCAGAAAAGACACTGGTGTAGTTTTTGGAAGGGAGAACTAGGGACCAGTGGGCTTTTATTCTCGAGGCAGGGAAGCAGGAGATTACAGATTTCTTATGAAAAAGAAAAAGATGACCATGAGGAAGTAAAAGAACCCTTCTGTGAGAGATTAGGAAGAAGAAAAAATAAACCTTTCTTATAAATACTGCAAAGAAATCTATAATAGATGCCATCGAAGTCTTTGTTGGAAATATGTGGGGCATCACTGCACTTTCTAAGACGTATCCTCTACTATTAAAATCTTAAATAGTTGCTCCTCTGATAACCAAATCTACTTTTTGATCTCATTTTCTTTTAACACCTCCTCTGGACATGATGTTTTGGTCCATTTGGTTCAGTGTATGTTGACTTGCTTGGCCTTGAGCTCTACTAAGTCCATTATACTAATAATGGATGACATTTGTTTGCCTGGAAGGCAAAAATTGCTGCTACCTGGAGCAGAAAGGGAATTCTGACATGGCAGTGGACAAGGACAAAGAATAAATCAGAAGAATGTTATTTAAATAAGTCATTGAGGAGAAATGGGTCACTCTGTCTCCATTAAAAAGAAAGAAAAGGCAACCAGAGCACATGAAAATAACACAAAGGACTATGGAGTGCACATTATTAAGGGTAGAATCATGATGAAAATGGAGTTTCTAAGACAGTTTCTTTATCAGGCCTTGATGTATCTCCTATTTCTATTATGTTATCAACAAGAAAGGGGGAAGAGTGGGGCATTAAGTCACTTGGATGTTTCTCAAATAAGAAGCGTGATTTAGAAACAAAAGGTGAAATTTTCAAAGTTATCACAGTTTACTAATGCTGGGAAAGTACCAAGGTCCATGGTATTAGTGTCAAAGATTCAAGACTGAGTTTCTTTATTACCTCAGGTAGGCCTATGATTTGCACTTTAAGAGTTTAATACTTGATGCTACGATTTCCAAAGGAAGTGACAAATGAAACTGCTGTCTTACATATAAGAAGTAATAAAGATAAAGCATGATCTAGTTCAACAGCATTTCCTGGTTTTATGGAGTATCATATTTACTCTCCTATAACCAATTCTGAAAGTTAGTATTTTACTGTACTTTTACAGATTAAAAGTCTGAAGCTCAGAAAGGTAACTTGCTTAAATCATCTAGACTAATCTGATACAGTATATCAGTAGGATGGAACATTTTCAACAACCCCATATCCCAACTTGTTTGGAAATTAAAGCAATTAAGAGTTCCAATTGCCCTGTGGTAATTCCTATAAATACTACAAAGAAAGCAAATTCCCCTAAAACTCAGTTCTCCTATATGTAAAAAGTAGAGAAAATTGTTAAATGGCTCCAGAGGGCTTATGGGGCACTATCACAAAGTCTTTTAGAAAATGATAATGTTCAAAGACTCATGGTGGAAAATTCTATCCACATCTAGAGAAAGAACTATGGAGTGTGAATACAGATTGAAACCTACTATTTTCATTTTTTTTTGGTGGCTTTCCCTTTTTATTTCTGTTTCTTCTTTCACAACATGACTAATGTGGAAAAAAAGAGAAAACGATAATTTTCTCATTTCCATAGTCTTTTCTTCTCCACACAGTGCTCCGCTGAGTAAACGTGTTCCTGAGTCTCTTGTATTACTAAAGTACAGTTTCCATGCATTTAGATATTTTAGGAGAACGGCTGCTTGGGCCATGGAAGTTGTTCCTTAATCACAGGAGCAATAACTTAAATTCCTATATCACATTATAATTCACAAAGCATTCCGTATGTTTTATCTCACTTATTCCTTAACCAACCTGCCGAAGAGGTAAAGTAAATATTTTAATGCCTATTTTACAGGTAAGGAAACGAAGCCGAAGAAAGTCAGGTGTCCCAAATGCCACCACGTCTAAATGGTGGAGCTGGGAGGCTTTCTAACTTCAAGTTCTTTCCATCTCACCATACCGGTTAGTTTCTCTATTGCAACTAGACACATTGTTCTAGGACAGTTTTCTCTGGATTGCTGAGAACAAAATGACACTGTGGAAAACATCCATACTGAAGATATGGAAGATATTATTCTAAATTAACAGTACTGGGTGTTCTTCAAATTCACTTGCAGCTCAAGTATACAACTTCCTCTCTCTTCTCTTGGGTTGACAGGGAGGGAGTAGGCTTGGTGTTGGGAGCCTATGAGGAATTAACCCTCTTCAATTAGGGAACAGCATGGCCTGTTATTGTTAGTTTATGTTTAAGATACTTAAGTAAAACTGCAGAGACAGTATTCTGAAAGGGAATCTAGGTTAACAGAAAGAACTGATAACCTGAGCTGGGAAAGGCTCAGGGTCCATCAGTTATCTTGGTTCTGCAAATGAGAAGTGAGAACCTCAGACAAGAAATAAGAATTCAGGGGTAGCTAGGTGGCACAGTAGATACAGCATCAATCCTGGAGTCAGGAGGACTTGAGTTTAAATCTGGCCTCAGATACTCGACACTTCCTAGCTGTGTGACCTTGGGCAAGTCACTTAATCCCAACTGCCGGGGGAAAAGGGTGAAAGGGGGAAGAGAAGAAATAAGAATTCAGTATCCATCTCCAAAGGGGGATAGAGTTTTGAAATAGGTAGAAAGGAAATGTCTGCTTCTGGATATCATATGATACATACAAAATTCAGGGGAAATTGGCAACCATCATTGAGGCCACATGGCCACTAGTGAGACCAGACCTAAATGCTAACCTAGACAAGAGGTTAAGGAGGCGCTGTTCTATCAAAGGTCAGTATTAGCAATTAAATGCCTAGTAGCTGATGGCAAGCAAACCAAGGGCAATCATATCTCAGGTGAATCAACGAGGTCAGAAGTGAGGTTAGATCTTCAGAGGGCCCACTGGTCAAGAGAGGGGCTAAAGAGACACCCTCTGTGGCAATGCAAGATGGCCTGAACTCAACCGAAGAAGTCCTGGGGCCAGATAAGGAAGTCTTTCTCCTCTAGCTGATGAAATTGGGACCCAAGCAGTTGAGGGCACCTCCAGAGGGGATGACCATTTTTCTTAAAGACGATGCCTGACAAAAGGTTCTAGAAGAACCTAGGAGGTACTCTAGGAGAGAGAGAGGTCTATCATTCTGAAAGCATGGCATATTCAGCTGAAAGAACTTAAGAGTTCATGGAATCTAACTCTCATAGTGATGATTAAACAGAGACTCAGAGGATAAGTCCAAGGTGACACAGTTTAAATCCACCTTGGTTTAAAAGTTTGAGCAACTTTTTTAGGTGTCTATTGTAGACAGGGTTGAAGTGATGAAAAAGGATCAAAGGAAGAATATCCCAAAGTTAGGATGAAAAATCTGTATCTGCGATCTGGTTGTTTCTACATTTACTTGCCTTAATTTCTCTTACTTTGCTATTGAGTCCCTTTGCAAAAATTCCAAACCTGTCTTGGCCAAACTAAGTGGAAAAGGGATACTTCTCTATGTCAGTTATAACAGGAAGGGAGATGACCGCATCCCTAGTGAGCAGGTACAGGACCAGCACCAGGAACCCAATAACTCAGAAAAGGTGGATAGGTATGGGGCAGATACAGAGAAGGAATCTTAGAAAAAATGGAGTCAGGGTCAACCATGGTTGCTGATCCCTTCCACAGGCCTCCGGGCAAATACTTCTGTCTGATTTTGAAAACGTGAGCAAGTCCTTGCTTAGGCAGAAGCATTTAGTACCTGTCAGCACCCGCATGGCTCCATGAACAGCATTCAGATCTCCGCTCACCAACATCTCCATCAGCAGGTTAAAGAGCTGGGGCCAGGCCTCTGGCCAGTCCCAATGCGCAATGGCTGACACTGCATATGCCACACTGGAACGGACCTTGCTAATTGATTCCCTCAGCCCATTGGGCAGCAGCTCCCGGATAACAATTTTTGCCTGCAGGAAATACCCTCCCTTTAGACCTAGCCCTATGTGATTTATCCAAGTTATGTTGAGCATATCTTGAATTACAAAGAATGTATTTTATATGCTACATGGCATATAATGCAACTGAGAGAAAGATCTAGATGAGTTTGTCATACAACTTATTCAGATATTTGATACTTATGTCACAACAATATTCTTCCCAATGAAACAACTCCCTCCCCCAAATCCCCTTTGGGTCAGTTTTAAGATCTTTGCAGGGTACTCACACCCTGATCTCTCAAAAGTCCCACATACCTCCCCAGGTGGACAAATGTAACAAATCTACTGACCCTTTCTGTGGTTTCAGGAGGCCTGAACTTCTCTGATTGGGCACACCAGTGGGTTTCCACATACTGTTTCAAGATGACTGATGCCAACTGGAAAGAAAACAAGCTAATTCACTCCAAAGGAATAAGGTACGGATAAGATACAAAGGGAGCACACCCTTCCTCTTACTTCATACACATTAACCACCAATCTGTCCAGAACATCTGAAGCACAGATCAGTATCAGTAAAGTCAGCCTTACTGTTTCTCTTTTTCCACAAGAAGGTTCAATCACTGAGAAAAAGAAAACCACTCTAGGCTTACCTGACGAATAGCTAATGCTCCCTGTGGATCCACAGTCAGCTCTGCTAAGTGAACTCCAAATTCTGAAAAGAAAAAAGTTTATCATTAATCAAAGAGTATATAGGAAATGACAAGACAACTTACTGAGAATTCACCATGGTGGTGACAAAAAAGGATTTCAGTAAACAGTTCAGCCATTCTTTTTTTTTTTTGGGGGGGAGGAAGTCTGTTACTCAGACATATTCTTTGGGGGTGTGGTGTGGTGTGTGTAAATCACCTTTAAGCAGTGCCAGTAAGCTCTTCTACTATTGTAGACCTAGCCCTATCTCTCCTAAGGTAATCAATATTTCTAACTATAAGATCACCCTAAACAGAGTCTAGGAATTAACTACACATATGTGCGTCACCAGAGATCAGATGACTGTCCGTCAGGGAGAAACTCTGGGCATCCAGCTCTGGTTTAGAACTGAGGGATAAGTAGGTTTAACAAGCTTGGTCATAAAAACAGAAGTGTTATAAGAAATCCAACCATATTCAGCTTGTGTTTGTACACAGTGAATGTCTGTGGTCCATTGGTGCTATCCCCAAAATCAAATACAGAATTGGTTCATGTTGGCAAAGAGACAACGGTCAAACATTTAATTGTCTGGAGGGCAGAGACAGGAGGAAAAACTCAAGAGTATCACAATTTTAAGATGAGTTAGTCAGAACTAAGGGCAGGCAGCCTTTCAGACCTAGAAGGTCTTTATTAGGAAGCCTGAGGGCTGATTACTTCCAACTAAGACCAGTTTTTGTCCACATAGCTAAAATGAGTCATTAAGCACAAAAAACAAGACTGATTGTGCTGGCATATGTATTCAAAATGAAACAGGCATTAGAAAAATGTCTATATTAAAATGATTATACCTCTTCTTGTTGCAACATTTGGTATTTAAGCATCTCAAGTAACTAGATTACTACAAAGACTAGCTAGAGTGCTGAGATCTATGGTTAAAAACTTAACGGCTACAACTGCATTCCTATGGCACCAATCACCTCACTTTGGCGGGAAGAAGGCATTTTATTTTTTCTTTTTCTTTTTTAGCAAGAATAGCAAGAAAGAAATCTAAGTTGTTAAAGAAGCCAGCCTCCTTTTCTAGGATTTACTAGATGATGAGATCACAAAAAGAAAAAAAATTTGGAAGATTTATTCCTGAAGCTTCTAAAATTCAATATATTTCCTAGGGAAAATCTGGTCAATGTAGTCTATACATTTGCACGTCTAGTTGAGGGGGGGGTCATCTACATGTCATCCATAAGCAAACTTACCTGAGGAGGATTTCAGGCTCAAAGATCTTAGACGTCTTTGAACGTCTATCTTTGGTACTTTGGTAGACATTTGGAAACAATTCTAATCAGCTGAACTGAATACAATTTAGGGAAGAGTCCTCAGGTACCAAATGTTCAAGTCGATTTGAGCAAGAGAATAATGGGATATCTAAACAACAACTGTGAAATCTGTCCAAAAGAAGAGGTATTTTCAACGGCCTCTATGCTATCTTCTATGCTGAATATTGAAATAGACACTAACTTCACGCATTCATTGATTTTTAAAAAATCACTTGCATAAGTTTGATACTAAATGTGCAGCTAGGTATATCTGCACATTTCTGGTATGCCTTGATGTAGTCTCTTGCAAACTAAAATGGTTCATGAGATCACTCATCTAGATCTAAACCATTTTGTCATGGGCCAATTTGACTCAGGTTTTAATGATTCTAGAATTAGCACAATTGCCTGGGACCATTATTATAAAGATTAGGCTTGTGTCTGAGAAAATGAGAACCACAGTGGAATAAAAATATCTGTCCAAAAGAAATTTGAGGACAAAACAAATACATGAACATTTAGGAAAAACAAAACTTTGAGTGGGAAGGAAGGAGGGGAGAGCTACAGAGGAGCCGTGTCAGGAAACTGCACTACTTGAGATTTGTCTGGTTGGAAACAGATCTCCCTGAGCTGAGGGTGAAGAGCCTTGACCAAGTTAGAAGGATTATATTCTCAGGCTAACGTACAGGCATGACACTGTTAAGAGGATAACAAGGAGTCCTTGTGGGAAGACGAGCAAACCATCAGCTTATATCCGACTGTACTGAAACTAAACAGAGGAAAAGCAGCATAGAACAGAAAACAGGCTGCCATCACACATTTTCTGAGAAGTTCCTACTGCAGCCCAAAAATACCTCTTGAGCTACCTGAGCATATCCAGGGTTTTAATCATTTACTTCCCTCTAGAATGCACTCACTACAAAAGATAAGACAAATTGGGTTTCTCACTCCTCCACCCCTTTCTCCCCAAAGGTCAAGTCCAGCTGATTATGGGAATACTTTACTTCATGATAGCTGTATCCAGGGTTACAACAATTATCTTAGGGCTGCAGAAAGCACCCACAGGAATGTGTCATGTTTGGATCCCAACTTCTGGTAGCCATATTGCTTCCCACATTACAGGGACTCCAGTGAGGTGATGAGAAAACAAGTCACTGATAGTCAGCAAGAGACTAGGTTGCAACAGTAACCAAAAGGAAACAAATGGAAAAAAAAAGAAGCATCCCCAAAACTTAGGCATCCATTAGGTTTTCCTTGTATTTGCTTTAAAATATCAACGGATTTTTAATGAAATGAAGGCCACTATACATAGGAAACAACATCGTTAAAAGGTGTAATATTAATCTCTATTTTGAATTCTAGGAGAAGAATATTTGGAAAAGAAAACAAAATCACTATTAGCTTCCTAAGAGACAAAACTAGAAAAGGAGCGGAGGGTGGGAAATAGCACTGACTTCAGAGAGGCTTCAACACTCCAAGATAGAATAAAAAATTATTTAGAAACCTAAGACAATTAAATAATACAAATTCTTGTCAGATGGGTGAGTGGGAAAGCATCAGTATAAACAAGGACAAATGTCAATTTTCCCATTACTCTTTCCTTCATCCCAAATCATAAATTAACCCTCTCCCCGCAATACATTACAACTCTTGGACTATCAATTGCCACTGATAATAAATGAAAATATATTTAAATGGGTCTCTAATCTCAAGGATGTGGGAGTCTCCTCCAACCATGCAGACTGCATTACGTGCATTCCTTCCCAAGCTGTGCTACTCATGTTCATGTCCCCCAACAAGCTCACCACACGAGCTTGGTCCAAACAACAGGCTGGAGGCCTCCCTTGCTTTCTGCTGATGTTGCACCAGTGCAGCACTCTGGCCGTCCATCTGTAATCTCTTGTTCCTGCCACCTGACCAACCCATTGTCTCTAATTGTAACATTTCTCTAAGAGGTTTCTTACTTCTGTTCTTCAGAGTTCCTTATTGGTTCGATGTTACAGCCTCTTCTTTGTCCTCTGAGGTACTCATATTTAAATCTTTGGGGGCAGTTCTGTTGTATGTCTTACACTGGCACAATGTTAGTACTTAAAAAATGAGCCCTTGCTTTTATGGGTAGATTGGTATCAGTAAAAAGAAGAAAAAATTCTCACGACAATCCTTCCTATACTCCTCCTGGTTTATTTTTTTCTCTGCTGACAGAGAAATTTGATAGGGTGTCTATCCAGATGCATGTTGAAATACATCTTCATGTGTTTCAGGGTAATGGGTATTCTTCATTCACTAAGTGTTTCCTATGTGGATGGATAACCCAATCTGAACGATTACAGAAGGCTCTGTAACATTCTGGGGCTTGATGCAATTAGGACCATATCATCATTAAACAGGAACAAACAGAGGACCTTATCATTTACAGGGAATCCTCTCTTTGACTTGGCTTCTGTGATGGATCTTTTCTTTTCTCTGGAAAAATACCTTTTGCAAGCATATGTCTCCCTATTTTAAATCCCCCTTGATGTTTATCAGAGGGCTTTCTGAACAAAAATAAGTAATTTGTTATATCTTCCAAGATATCTTGAATAATTCTGATATATAGATGGGAGACACTTTGTTGAAAAAGTGCCTATATAGCAGCATTCTGTTCTATCAAATCAAATGCTTTTTTGTAATGAACAAACAGCAAACATAATGGGATCTCAAATTCTCTACACCTCTCCAGTTAGTTGTGAAATAGTAAAGATGTCATCCATTACTGAATATTACTTGTGGAAGTTTGCTCATTCCCTGATAGCAATGATTTCTTTATAAATCACCCCCATAAAGATATTGGATGGGAAAGATGGTGTACAGATGGGAAGCTATTGATAGTCTTTTGGCTACTTTTTTTTGGGTATTAATAAAAATCTAAGCTTTTTTTCTCTGCTGTTTATTATCATTTTTCCCTCCAGCTACCATATATATATATATACATCAGTCTCTTAATGCCTTTATAATCGTGTCACTTCCAACATGGAGCTCCCCTCTCTCTATCTGGTCCGATCCAGCTGCTTTTCCCTTTTTGTTCTCTTTACTGCCACTTTTACCTTCTAAGTACAATTAGGAATGTTTAAATGGAGTCTAAGTGTGGTGATTCCACTGTTTTTGATGATGAAAAAAAGTTTGTTAAAATGATTTCTGCAAATCTTTTTCAGGTAGTCCTCTTTTCATTCTCAGACTTGAATGCCTCTGTGATGACTTTACTTAGCTGAGTACCTTGCTAAGTTTTCTTTAAAATGATTTTACCTTCTACTCTCTATTTTAAGAGACAATACAGCTAATAATCATTCATTACCCTTCTTTCTAAGAATATGTCAGTGACTTTATATTTAACCTGGTGTTGCCTTTGGCAGTCATCTCTCTCCATCTGGTAAGTAAGTCTGGGCTCTTTTGTTCTCACTGTGGCCATTAATTTACATCCGTTAAAATGGATAAAATTCTTATCATCAGTACTGATATAATTAATTTCTGTTGTCCACTTCCCATTTTTAATTTCAATTGCCTGTTCAAAAAATTCAGGGTTGATGTTTCACTTGTATGACACATTTTTTCTAATTATTCTTTCTTCTTAAAAAAACAAAAAAACTAATTATGATCTTAATTCTGATATGCGGATGGGCTGACTGTAGAGACAGCTGATTCAGGGATAACTTCCATCTCAATAACACACCTTTTCGAG